TCACGATTTCAACACAGGAAATCGTCCCCCAACCCCTCTGCTGCTGTAAATGCCTTCCCCACCTGCTACAGGACTTCCATGGGAGAGGACACGGCCTCTCACCCCCTGCACAGAGCTAAGTCAGAGAAGCAACCCAGGAATTTGAGAAGATTCCAGAGGGCAGTGGGCAAGAGCTTAGGCGTGAGAAACATCTGAATTTGAATCCTGGCTCTGCCACTCACTCGGCAAATGCTTTAAGCTCCCTAAACCTCAGTTTCCTCACCTGTAAAATTGGTCTGATAGTTCTTACCCTGCAGGGTGATTGTGAAAATTAAAAGGAGTACCATGAGGGTAGAGGAGAAAGGAAAGCTCTTCTTTATAGGAGAATGCTAACTAATAAATATACAAAAGTGATGGGATTAGAAAATCTGCATTTCACAATAGATTTGGGCAAGAATCACCCTGGGGCAGGAAAAAATATTATACAGGACATTTTGAGGGACAATCAGGGAAGCTTGAATATGGATTGTGTAGTAGACACTATTGTGTCAACGTTACATCTCTTGGTTGTGACGATGGCCTGTGGTTCTGTTGGAGAATGTTCTTGTTCTTAGGAGATGCATGATCAAGTATTTAAGTGTCTTGGCCTCTGCAAAGGTCTCACAAGTGGTTCAACAAAATAAATATGCATATGCAAAGAGAGACAGTAAATGCCACTGTTTTTAGTGGAGAGGGCTCTCAACAAGCCCCGATCCCCCCAGAAGATGTCAGCAGGGAGCAGCAGCAGAGGTGGGGAGGCCTGAGGGCCTGTTTGGGGGCTGGTTTAAGGGCAGGAGCTGAGTAAGGCTCAGGTGGGGAAGGGAGGAGACGGAAGGCAGAGTAGGGTAGAAAGAACACAGGATCTGAAGGCAAAAGACCTGGTCCGCTTGGTAATGATGCGCGGCCCTTCAGTGAGACACTTAACCATTTTGTGCCTTGGTTTCCCTCTCTGTAAAAAGGGCAGAAGAGTGAGACAAGAGAAAATAGGTGAGAAATCCCTTGATAAACTGGAGCCTGCCGCTGTGTGTGGACGTGTCTGTCACTGCTCAGAGCCAGCTGGTCTCTGGGCCCAGGAGCTCTGGGCAGAAGGAGCATGTTAGGGCAGAGATGCAGGTGGAAATGGAGGCACCGCGGGGTGGGACTGTGGACCCCCCTCTGCCCACCTCCCTGGGGACCCCGCAGGGCTGAAGAACTGAGCCAGGAGGCAAATGCTCTCTGCTACCTTTGCCCGGAAGTGGCCTCCTCCCCGCCGAGACCCCCAGGAGCTTGCTGGGAAGGCACTGTGGCCAGAGGAGGAACTTGGGGTTGACATGTAACTGACCAAACCATTGCAAGTCTGTGCCTCTCGTTTCTACTTAGCTGTGTCCTGCGCCGCCCAGTGCTGCTGGCCAGAGGGTGAGGGCGCTAGAAATACTCGCCAGCCCAGGAGGGACCTGGGCTCTGGCTGGCCTGAGCTGGTGCGTAACCTAGGATGGGGTTGCTTCCTTCCTCTAGGCCTCGGTTTACCCAGGATCCATAAAATGGGGCGATCCGTCCCTGCCCTACCTCCACCAATGTGGAGAAGAAGAAACCCATACTTTGGAGGCCAGCAGATCTGCGTTCAAATCCCGACCCCACTGCTTGCTGGTGGCAATCAGGAGCCTGCACATCTCACAACTTCCATGTCCTCAACCATTTCAGGGGGTCGTGCCCCATGTGCAAGGTTATTGCAGTAAGTCGAGACAAAATAAGTACAAATAACTGCCATGTAGTTTATTGGTTTCGCCCCCGCTAGGACTCAGCCCTCAAGCCCAGGCAGGGGCCTGGTCTCGTTCACGGCTGTACCTCAGTCCCCAGGGTGGTGCTGGGCGCTGAGTAGCAGCTCCCTTAGATCATGGGTTGACATCGGGACAATGGGAGCTCAATAATGATAGCTCCCACTGTCACTCTAAAGTATGCTGAGACAAAAAGCATTTGAAGTTCATGGTTGTTGAGAAAGGAAACCTTGGAAAGCAGAAATAACCTCCAGGGTTGGCTGGGGTCTGTCTGTCCGTCTGGCAATGGAGGACACCAGGGGAGCTGGGCTTCTCTAGACCAGGGGACAGACACTGCGTGCCCATGAGGGCCAGGCATCTGTGTGTGAGGAGGGCGGGGCAGGGGGCAATCAGCAGCTGGGAGCCTCCGCGCATCCTGTCCCATAGGGCCCCCTCGCACTGGCTGACTGTGGCCGGCTAGGAAGGCAGGCACAGTTTGCCAGCACGGCTGAGTTTACAAAAGAAGCCACAAACCCAGTGGAAAACTATTCATTTTTAAAAGAAAAATACAAGTGAGAGCAAACAAAGCTCATCTGTGGGCCGGGAGAGGCTGGAAGAGGCTGGTAGTACAGCCCAACCTTCTTGGGCAACCTGGACAGAAGGACCCCTGGAGTGGCCTCCGCGGGGCTACTTGTCTCTCCAGCCCCCTCAGACAGTCCAAGTGCCTGAGACGTGGGACTCCAATGGGGGAAATGCCAATCTGCCATCCAGATCCAGAAGGCCAGGGCCACACAGAGCCAGCCTGGGAAGGTCGCCAGACTTCGAGGCTCCCACAGCACCTGGTCCACATGGATGTTCAGCAAATACTCATTGAACAAATCTCTTTGTGTAACTGTGAGCACAGGCCTCTGTCTCTGGGCCTCATCTGTAAAATGGGCGCAGTAACGCGGGCCCACCTACCTTGCAGGGATAATGGAGACGTAGAGTGAGGTCGAAGGGATAAAAGTATTTCTGAACATCAAAGTGCTTTGCAAATGCCAGGTGTTGTCATCCTTGCTGTCATTATTATTATGAACAAGATACTTTTGCCAGAGCAGAAGGGGCCCTGGGGCCCAGAAGAGCAGAGAATCTACAGGCTTCACAAGGATGGTCTGGATCGAGCCCACCAGGGTCACGGCAGAGGGGACATGGGCTCGCCAGCTCCGAGACAGACTCAGTCGTGGGACACGGGAGCCCACTTGACCTCCTCCTTAGCCACCAGGCCTCCAGCTCAGTGGGGGCCCCAGTCAGGCCTGGCTGTGTCTCCTCAGGGAGCTTCTGGGGACACAACCCCTGTACGTGCTGCCCATGAAATATAGCAACTATATAAATAACATAAATACTTTCTCATATATCTTAGCTATATAAATTATTCTCTTTCATCCTAAAATCTATATATGTGAGGTAGACAAAAATACCCTGTGAGCATTTCCCTTAAAGCTGTAGAACGAGGGGTCAGTGGTCACTCTGGTCCCCAGAGGTGCGAGCAGGGCTGAGGTGGGTCTTTAGGGATACCAGGAAAAGAAAGGGGTGCAAACAAGGGAGGAGAAGACAGGGAGAGGGCCGGACGGAGAGGACCCCACAAGTGAAGGGGCCCTTAGTGCCAGCCATGGCCTAGGTCCCTCAGAGTCTGCCCTTTGCCCTCCTGCAACCGTGGCACAGTGGCTGTGAAGTCGGGAGGCAGATGCTCCCAGGCCCCTCTTCCTGCCAGCGAGGTCTCTGCTGCCTCACGCCAGGGCTGGGCCGGGGTGGAGCCAGAGGCACAAGATGCATCAGGCTGGTAGAGGAAAAGTCTCCGTGCGGTGGGGGAGTGGAAGAAACCAGAAAACCAGCCCTCCACCCTTTCCTCCTCCTGCCAAGATGCGGCCAGCTGCTTGGGTCAGCAAAGTCAGCCTGGCGAGGGGGACTGGGTCCGTCCAGCTTCTCCTCTGAGCCCGCCAGCATCCAGCAGGCTGCCCCGGTCCACCGAGGCCAGCTCCTCCTCGCCCTTGGGGGTCTCAGGGAGTCGGCCGGGTACCGCTATGGGCCTTCCTCCTGCAGCTGGCACAGACGACATTTCCGAGCATTTGGCTGGTTCCGAAGTTTCCTGTTGCAGTGGAGGGTCAGCACCCCTGGGTTCAGGGAGAAAGGAAGCTGACGGAGGGGTGCGGCGGGGCTGGCAAAGCGGCCAAGGGCGTCCTGAAAGAGGTCACATCCTCCCGGCTGGCACCGGGCCCCACTCTGGGGAAGCACGACGCCTCCAGGAAAGTGGCCCCTGCAAGGCCTCTGTCCTGAGCTAGAGAGGTGCGTGCTCTCCCTGGGAGCCCTCGGCCTGGTCCAGGGGTGGGCCTGTGCGTGTGCACCCGCGTCCCTCTCTTCCTCCCACATGGGACCTTGGCAGGTGGCTCTGGAAATGTCCACAGGATCCGAGGAAATTAGCAAAGTTATGTCTACTCCTCAGGTAAGGACCAAAGCGAGGGGCCATTAGCGAATGAAGGGGTACAAAGAGCCAGGTGTGGCAAGGACGCAGCGCCTACGGCTCCAGCCAGGTGAAATCCCTCATGAGATGTGCAGCTGTAAGGCCAGAAAGGTAACCAGAACCAGAACCCACGAGCCAGCTGGTCATCTGTGTCACGACTGTCCGCTGGTGGCAGGGCTTTGTGGCCCAGGAGGACGCCAGCCACAGGGAGTTGACCAAAGCTGACTCAACAGATGGCTGAGAAACTGGGCTCACTATGTCCCTGCCAGGGATCAGAGGGCTGTCCCCCTCCTCCTTCGGGTTGGAATTAAAGGTTCCTTTGGCCGCCAGGGGAAATGAGGAGGGTCGCTGTTTCCCCATGCGACCCCAGGTGCACTGAGTTCCACCGTGGCCTGCCTTGCCTCCACTGGCAGTCGCACTGGGCAGGGTGGGTGGTTGCGGACAACTCAGCTCTCGAGATGAGGCACATTTGAAAACCCAAATCAAGGAGGCTCCAGGACACGTATCTGACTTGGGTCCACTCAAGCCCAGAAAGCTTTCCTTCCTCCAAACACCTCCTGCCACTTGGGCTTTCTCCTGCCTCTAGCACTGCAAAGCCACAGGAGTGGCACATGGCACCTGGTGCTCACTGCCATGTGGGTGGGGCCGAGGGCTGGACTGACCCATGCCAGGCAGACTCCCACCTTTGCCCCCAGCCAGCACTGCCTCCAGTGGCGTTCCCCACCCAGAAGCCTGGCTCTCAGCCATTCACCCCAGGAACCAAGATGGCGGGATAGCCCCTCTCTCCCCTCAGTCTTGCTGTCCTCTCGGGCTCCCTCCGCATCCTCTCCCACCCTGCCTTCCTGCTCCAAGTCCTCAATGAGGCTGGCAACGCTTGGGTTCAGGGCTGGGCTTTGCTTCTCTTTGCTGTTGAGGGAAGCAAAAGGCAGGCCGAGGACTGGTAGAGCAGTGGTGAGTTGCACGCTCGTGTGCACTGGCACCTATGTTGGTGTGTGCTACACGCTGTGCCTACCTGCCCAGAGGGCCGGCTGAACAGCTGCACGGGCACCGTGGGAGGTCCTGTCAGTGCCTGGCTGGCTCCCGGGGCAGCAGGCCTAGGGCTTGCAGGTGTACACGAGCTCCTCCTGCACACACTGCTGACACTCCACATAGCAGCACCACTGCACCTGGCAGTGGCAGGAGAAGGCCACCAGGCGGCTCTGGGTGTCGTAGCCCCGCCCACAGCACAGGCTGTTGCAGCTGGCCTCCCGGGAGCACACCCTGCCCGCCGTGCCGGGCGAGTACTTGCTGGGCCGGCAGAAGCTGGGTGAGTCCTCCATGTAGACCAGGTCCCCAGGCCGGGGGGCCAGGCCCTTGGCAGGGCTTCCTGGCCTGGCGGGTACCCACAGCTCTAGGCGGCCCAAGGCCTCGTTGGTGGCACTGGACACCTTGACAGCTGAGTCGTAGCGCAGCTTCAGCACCTGGCCCGTCTCACGGAATGGGGAGAGCTGCTTCCAGCAGGTGCGCACGGCGCAGGAGCCCGACACGCCGTGGCACTTACACGTGGTCCTGAGGCCACTCTTCACAGCCTGCGAGAAGAGCCAGGGTGGAGGCGTGGTCAGAGGCCCGGGCCCGCATCCAGGGCGCCAACCCCGGCAGGGGAGCGGCAGGAGGATGGGAAGGAGACACAGGGAGGTTCGTGGGAGGGGGGACAAATAGGACCTGAGCTAGCCCATGAGGCACCTTCGCGTGACTAGTTGAAAGGCTCTCCTTCCTTTAGGCAGAGGCAGCCCTGCGCCAATGCGCATGCCTCAGTGAGAGTGTGGGCCGATCACAGCCCCAGCTCCAACCCCCCCCCGCCCCGCCCGCCGGGCCAGAGTTCTGCTGGAGTAGACAACTTCCACAGCTGAACAGGGCAGCCCTGGTTTACATGACTCAGTGATGAGGACAGACGACACAGAATACAGAATCCAGTCTCCTAAGGAACTGGAGCACTGGCCTCTCCCCACCTGCTCACCCCCGTGGACCTAGATTCTTTGTACCGTACAGTTGCCCCACTGCTGTGTGACCTCCACTGAGTCCCTTTCCCTCTCTGGGCCTCTTCCATCTTCCCACCCATAACACGGAGGGGGGCAGGGGTTACTCAAGATCAAAGTTGTCAGAGTATGTTGGCTTCTAGGACCTCCAGGAAGGCCCAGTCCTTGGAATGGAGACCCCTGTCCAAACACATCCCTGCCTCACCGAGGCCTGGTCCCAAGCCTGCTGCTGCTGCCGCCCAGCCGCCAATGACACCCAGGGCCCTTCCCCACTCTGCCGTGTTCCCGGTGGCCAGCAGTGGTCCAGAGCAGATGCCTAGGGAGGGTGGGTTCCCTGGCTCTGCGCCCAGGCTGTGGAAGGCGCTGTGGGCGGCCTGGGGACACGCTCACCTTCATGCCCACGTGGGTGTTGTGGGCGTCTGCCCGTGCCCGCAGGTCCTTGCTTCCTCTCTTGGGCCCCAGGAAGTTGTTCAGGAACTTGGTGCTGTACTTGAGGTTGTCGCCGCACACGCCCCACTGCCAGGCCTGCCGGCTCTCCAGGCCCGGAGAGTCGTCGCAGGTGCAGCGCTCCATGCGCCCGGCGCTGCAGGCCCGGGCCAGCGTGTGGGTGAGCGCAGCCGAGGACACCGCATACAGGAAGGCCGTCTCCTTGAAGCCTGTGCGGGGTGCCCGGGGCAGGGGTCAGGAAGGAGGAAAGAAGGAGGCTCAGAGGCTGCCTGCCGCCCTCTGAGGGCAGGAGGGGGTGGTAGCAGTGCCGTGATGGGCAGGACGAGGGAGGGTGGGCCTGAGGACACATCTCCGGGTGACCTCCCTGCCGCCTGCCCTTTAAACTCAGGCTGCAAGTTGCTGTTTAAATGGAATTTCCAAAGTCACTATGGAGTATGTGCCCAGGTTCCCAGAGGGCAGCAGGACAGGAGTTACTGCCTCTACTTACTTAACAGACATGCGCGCTGAGATACAAAGAGAAGAGACTCAGGCTCTACTGAGGGCCACAGCTGGGGTTTAACCAGAGATCTGGACTCCAAGTCCATGTGTGACAAGTTGGACCAACCCATTGCTGAGGCCCCGGTCCCCGAGATGTGCCCTGTGGGCTTCTATTATTCATGATGCCACCCACAGTGGACTAGACCCAATGGCAGAGTGACCTTCAGTCTCCCGCCTGGCCTACCACAGACTGACCATCCCGCCCCCTGCCGGGACCGTCGCTATTCCTCACTCGTGGGGCGTGGCCCACACCTGACCTGGCCTCCCACGGGCTCGCCACCTCCTGCCTGCTCTCCAGTGCACTTAAGGCGCTGGTGACAACGAGACGGAGAGAGAGAAGCGGGGGCATTAGCTCAGCCCCAGACCCTCCCCAGGGAGCACCTGGCCCAGGAGGGGCCTGGCTGCCCCGCACAGTATCACTGCCTTTCTGTAAAAGTCCCCATCATGGCCCTCCTCCTTGGTGATGGAGTCACACGATGGCCCGTTGTCTCCCCTGTGGACTGTGTGTTTCCTGAGGGCAGAAGGGGCCTTGTTCGGCACCTAGCACAGCGCCCTGCTCTCTGCGAGCCTCAGCAGATGCTTAGCGAGTGGATGGGGAGGCCATGAGGGATGTGGGGAGATGGGAGGGAGGCAGGGTGGGGAGGAGGGATGATGGATAAAGGGATGTGACGAACAAAGATACAGATGAATGAGTGAACACATGTCGGCCTGTCTCGTGTCATTTGTCCAGTGACCACTGCCTGCCATCTTCGTATGTTCTTGCACCTTGTTCTTGCACACATGTGTGTGTGCAAAGGCAGAGGGGGGTGACTGGGGGACCACGTAGCTCTTTTGTGGGCTCCTCCAGGCATGGGCTTCTGTCTCCTCCTCTCTGATGTCTCCCTTGCTCCTCTGCTCCCCAAACCTGAGGTTGGGCCACAACTGGCCTTCAACAGACCTTCGACTCCCCAGGATTTGTTCCCCCTGTGGTTGTGCTAGGCTAGTGAGGGCAGTGTGGCCTGGGCACAGGGGCAGGGGGAAGGGTGGTCCTCCTGAGCCTTTCTGTCCCCCAGTCCTCCTCCCCCCACCCCTCCCCCCTGCCACCCTCCTGTCCCCCCACCCAGCCCTCCTCCCTACCTCTCTTGAGCAGGCCCATCCTCCCCTCCAGGCTGCAGTCCCAGCGCTCGTGCCGGAACTGGAACTGGCACTCGAGCAGGCCGAGGTGTGCAGCCTCCCTCAGGGTCTCAGCCAGGCCTGGCTCCCTCCGGCAGAGCTGCTTCTGCCGCCGGGACAGCTTCAGCAGGTCGCACTGCTTCAGGTGGGTGTCGCCCTGAGCCGGGGCAGCATCAGTGCCCAGGCCTGGGAAGGGCGTCAGGACCTCCCGCCCGGTGAGGCTGTGCAGGGTGAGAGGAGGGACATAGGTGGGGTTTTCAGATGCGACGTGGGGCTGGGGAGGGAAAGGGGGCCTTCTCGGGAGCTTCATTTATTGCCCTTCTGGGCAGCAGGCCGATCCCACAGGAGTTACGTCCCCATTTTACAGAGTAGGAAAACCAGGGCGCTTATAGCAAAGACTGGTGCAGGACTCAGACCCGCATTTTCCAGATCCCAGTCTCTGCTCTTTGAACCCACCCAGTTACCCAAACTGGCCCAATTAGAAAGATCGTCCAGGGTGTTTATTAAAAATACAGATTCCCAGGATCCATGCTTGGCAATTCGAATTCTATTGGTCTGGAATGGGGCCTAGGAATCTGTATATTTACACCATTCCCTGGACAGCTTCTATGATCAGGGAACTAGCACATAGTATGGGTTGCTGCCTGGAGGGGAGAGACACATTCCTAAGAGGGCACAGGCAGAGGGGATGTGGACGCTGAGCAGACACCAGCCAAGGTCCCCTGACACCCTTCTCCCTTACATTATGTTCCAACTCAAGTAATCCCCTACCCACATAACCTGTTCCCATAACTCCCAGGTAGACCTTGAACCATCTGACCACTTGGCGCCTGGTACAAAGGGATGCTTAGGGAATGGGAGGGACGGAGGGAAAGAGGATGGAAGGAAGGAAGGAAGGAAAGAAGGAAGGAAGGAAGGAAAGAAGGAAGGAAGGAGAGCGGGAGGGAGGGAGGGAGGGAAGGGCTGACAGATGTTTAGATGAAGGAGAAAGAGCTGAATTTCCATCAGGTTATCAATCCCAAACTGCTTTTTCTCCTGCATCCAAAGCTCATCAATTTGGATTCAGGCTGCCGAACTCTAAGCCTGACTCTGCCACTTCCTAGCTGTGCAGCCTTGAAGTCTCAGTTTTTCTCCTCTGGAAAGTGGAAGGATTAATCCTCTCTACGTCCCAGGGTTGCTAGGGGATTATATGAAATGTACTAGCCACAGAGCCTGGGACAGGCTTACTTTGCTCCTAGCTGGAGTTTCCCAAATGTCTCTCCTCTAACAAGAGGCTTTGCTCTCTCACCAGGCAGAGTCTCCCTTTGTCCAGATGAGGAAAAGAAGGTTTTAAGAGGAGGCAGAGACTGGCCCAGATCATACAACAGGTCAGCAGCAACGTGAGAACTGGAATTCAAGTTTGACCCTCCCTTTCCCAGATGCTGCCTGTGAGATGGTTGTACCAGTGCACAATGTCTGTTGACCTACACCCTGGTGCCCCCCAGCGTGGGTGGAATATACCCGATTCTGGGACATGCCAACCCCACAGCGAGGGTAAAGGAGCAGTGGTGGAAGCAGGCAATGGCTCTTAAAGTTCCTGCCTGGATATGGCACTTGCCACTGTTGCTCACCTGTCACTGGCCAAGGTGAGAGCCCTGTGGACAAACCAGGGGTGTTCAGACAGGCCCACATCCCACTGAGCCAAGGGCATAGCTCTCCTGCATGGAGCCGCCTGTCTCAGCCAGGACATCTGGTTGCATGCCACACCCTCTCTGTCTGCCCCCAAAAGGAGCAAGCCTCACCAGAGGGTGAGGGGCCTGGCCAGGCCCCAAGTGCCCTCAGAAATTGCCCATGGATTCCAAACTCATCAGGTGCAGCCACGCCAGTGTGGAGCATATCTGCGAAACCTCCAAGCAGAGACAGATGCTATCGGGCTCCTCCTGGCCCAGCCTGGCCCTGGGCTCCTCTCCCAGACAGGGTGAGGGCAGGGGCCCGTTAATCATTAATCTGGGGGCAAATGGGTAAATTTCCAGTCCACCAGGTCTACACCCAAACCCCTCCCTACGGCCTGGCAGGAAACCCTCAGAGCTTGACCCTTGGCAGGTCCAGAGCAGGAGCCAACGTCAACCCCAGCTGAGGAGGCCCCACCTTGACTGGCTTCCAGCACGGAGGGCAGCGCGGGGGCTGCAGGCAGCAAAGGGGGCAGCGGCTATCCAGCCCCTCATATGTCCTCCTCCCCCCACCAGGGGCTGGTGTGAGGGGCAACTTCTGCTCACACAATTTCTGTGTTCCAGAAACTGACACCTCCCTTGTAGAAGCTGATTGACAGATGGGAGAACTAGCAGGGAGTGATGGAAATTTTAGACAATGGGGCTGCACATCCTTCAAGGCCCATCCCAGATGCCATTTTAAGAATAATAGCTATTGGCCGGGCGTGGTGGCTCACCCCTGTAATCCTAGCTCTCTGGGAGGCCAAGGTGGGTGGATTGTTTGAGCTCAGGAGTTCGAAACCAGCCTGAGCAAGAGCGAGACCCCGTCTCTACTAAAAAATAGAAAGAAATGATCTGGACAACGAAAAAAAAAATATATATATATATACACAAAGAAATTAATTGGACAACTAAAAATATATAGAAAAAATTAGCTGGGCATGGTGGCGCATGCCTGTAGTCCCAGCTACTCGGGAGGCTGAGGCAGGAGGATCGCTTGAGCCCAGGAGTTTGAGGTTGCTGTGAGCTAGGATGACGCCACGGCACTCTAGCCTGGGCAACACAGTGAGACTCTGTCTCAAAAAAAAAAAAGAATAATAGCTATTATTATACCATGACAGCTATATTATATGTCATTTTATATAATATATAATATGTTATTTACTATATTTATTATCTTTGTAATGTTATATATATTCGTATACCTGCCATTTTTGAGTGCATATTCCTAAGTCCTTTAAATTACTCTGGTGGACACCTATTGGGTTAGCTGCCCACCCGTTCCTTCTATTTACATGGTGACCATGTGGCCCCTGTAGGCCATTTTATACCATGTGACCTTGCTGGCCTATTGATTGGATCAACGATGATCACATGATCCAAGCTGGGCCAATCAGTTCCTTCTCTGGGAATCTGGAATTTGAATTAGGAGAACATACAGTTCTTTCTCTCTCTTTCTCTGTGTCTTTGGATGACTGGATCTGAAACACAGAAGATAAACTGAGGAAGCTAATCTAAAGAGAGAAAAAAAAGAATTAATGAAATACACCAAGAGAAGCAGAGGTGAGAGTGGGAGGGACACTTCCGGGAGCTTCTCAGTCTCTGGCCTCAGAGTCTTCCCAGAGCACAGCTGTGCTCTTGCCTGAGACACCCCTATAGTGTGGAGTGAAGGTTCAGAGTTGTTTGTCAAATAAGGGGCACCATCCTTGATCACGACCTTCTGACAGCTGCAGAGCACAGGAATTCCCTTGACCGCACTTGTGAGCCCGGCCCAGCAAACACCCTTACACTCATCAACAGGCACCTGTTTTTTTAATTTCACGTAATAGACCCTGAGATTGATGGCTCCAGGAGTCCAGTATAAAGTCGGTTAATTTTATTAGCGGTAATGACACTTAGCAGCGATTAATGGTCAGGAAAGGCAGCCAACCGCACGAGGCCTCAGGCCACGCTGGGCCATGGTCTGCCCAGAGCTGCTCTCAAAGAAGGCTCCCTGGCACTGCCTCAGGGACCCAGCAGGACCCAGGAAGACAGCCTGGGAGACCTTCCAGAGCCCAGTTTCCCTTTTATTTGCTGTCTGTGTTGTGGTTTGGGATCATATTTCCTTTGAAGAAATAGTACCAGGACATCAAATTTATTTATTTATTTAATTTTTTGAGCTAGGGTCTCGCCCTGTTGCCCAAGCTAGAGTGCAGTGGCATCATCATAGCTCACTGCCACCTCAAACTCCTGGGCTCAAGTGATCCTCCTGCCTCAGCCTCCTGAAGAGCTGGGACTGCAGGTGTGTGCCACCACGCCCAGCTAATCTTTCTTTCTTTCTTTTCTTGTGCAGAGACAGGGTCTTGCTATGTTGCTCAGGCTGACATCAAATTTAGAAAACGAGTCAACCTAGTTCCTCAAATCGTGCTAGTGAATTCTCCTATGCATGCCTATCTCATGGCATCTGCTGGGAAATTTCTCCCTGGACCCCAGCAGAATTCTGAGTGTTGCAGTTTCCAGCTTTTGTTGAGTGGTCAGCAGGTGTGATTCCCTCTCCAGGAAGAAATCATACTCTCTGGAACCCCAGGCCGGAGAATCCCACCCACCGGGTCCCTGTGTGAAGTCTCAATTACCCACATGTCAGCTGAGCCCCACGGGGGTAAGATGGACAAACAGAGAAGCTGAGTGAGCTCTATTAGCCCTATGAATCCAGAAAAAAGTGGGGGTTTTAATGACGACACTGTTGTGGGGTCAATCAGTTGCTATCAGAGCAGAGGAAGGAGACTTTGCAAACTTGCTAACTGCTCTTCCGGGCTGGGGGCTACTGCCTGACTCAAGTGCTCCTGAGCCGCCTGGGACCCCTGCACTCCATCAGGCTGCACCTGCCCTGGCCAGCTGGTCTCCCCAAATCCAGTCCTCCTTGGGCTCTCCCAGGCTGGCTTCCAGCCTCTCTTTTCCCACTAATAAAGCAATGATCCCACATGATCAGTTTCCTCCTCCTCCTTACTTGGTTATGCCCCATCTGTGCCCCGCTACTGTCTGCACCCTCATCCCCTGGCCCTTAGTGGTCAGGGTGAGGGTGAGACCAGAAGCCCCCACCCCCACACATGAGATGTCCTGTGGCTTTGAGCCCAGGGCATCCCCAGCCACTTGGCCACTTGCCAGACCACCCTGTCTTCCCCTAGAGTGGGAAAAGTCAAAGGTGCCCCTCGGGACTTCATCCCACATACACCCCACCCCCAGATCTCCTTTGCCCATTCCTGGCCCCTCTGGCCCCACCCCCTTCCACCCTTCCCAGTGTATACCCCACCTGCGGATTCGGCTAAAGCTCCCCCATCGGGGTGACCTTGAAGGAAGCAGAAGAGGCTCCGCCAGGCTTTGGGGAAAGCTTCCCAGGTCATGCTTTGCCTGCCATCAGCAGGACCCCAGGGACCATCGAACCCCTGAGAAAAAATGGAGCTCACCCTTCAATAATCACCCACCAACTGCTGGAGCATGGGGACCCAAGGACGTTGTGCTCCAAGGCTGTTCTGGCCTGGGTGGTCTGGTCCCAG